ACAAATGCAAAAGCAAAACATGTTACAATTTAGACCAACTAAAACAAACTCCAATATTTAATCCATTTTTTAATTGAAAATAAAATAAAAATATCAAAAAAAAAGTAGACATCTCAAAGTTGATAAAAAAATATTTTTGGTGAATTTTTAACATATTGGAGCTATTTTAATTAATTAAAATTATAAACAGAAAATAAAATAAAACACAAAAGAAAATAAAATGAAAATGAAAAATGAGTGTGACAAATAGCAAGAAATTCAAGTTCAGAAATGGATTGGGCCCAAGCTGGGGGTGTGGATAGAAGGGACGCGCTAGGCCCACTCAGAAAATCCAACAAAACAAAATAATCCTGGCAATTACATGCAATGAGTCAAACACGGTACACAATGGACACTCAATCAGAACCACATGATAAAAAAGTAATCAATCAGAGGGCCATCATAATGCCAGCACATTAATGAAATTTTAAACGCAATTACATGGATCCAGTCAACTTTGGACTACCGTGTTTCTTAATCTTCACCGTTCACATGGAAAGTATGCAAATCAAACGCATGTGGCAGTGACACGTCATCATCCCTAACCTCCAGCAACCCTAAAACACACCAGCTGGCCGGAGATCACTATAGATCATCTTCTCCGGCCAAGCACCACCGCGCGCAGCAATCACAACATAGTGTCTCACCAAATCTCAACCAAAACGCATGAAATTTATGTCAAATCTCATCTAGAGATCAAGAGGATCTCATATCTGGCCTTAAAAACCATTAATTATGCGTGAAACTTCAAACCCGAAGCCAACAAGCTTGAACATCAAAATCCAAAAGTTCATGAAAACAACTTCAATTTGATTTAAAACTCATCTAGAGCTCACATAGGTTACATATCCATCATTAAACAAGCAAGATCATGCATAAACAAGCCAAAATAGGTCCAAACATTTTCAAGCATCATCCAACAATCACAACCAATGCCAGTTCGTTTTACATTTTAATGATCTACATTGATCCTACGTCTCAAGTATGCAAAAATGGCAGTGAATTGATGCTTATCAAGAGTGCAAAGTTGAATTTCAATTACCTAGTGGAGAACTTCCACTGAGCCTTCAAATGGAGCTCAAGCTTGAAGATAATTGCCCAGAATCGTTCACAGAACTCCAATAAAGCTTTCTCAATTCACAATTTTGCTTGAAACAACCTCAATCTCCAAAATCGAAATTTGAATTTCCACCTCTTTTTCAAAACTGAACTTGCTCAATTTGGCTCTAATTTCCACTTCTGATGATTTGTGAAGGTTCAAAACCTTATATGCAATGGATCTTGATGATAATTAGGCTCAATCTCAGCCTCTAACAGTCCAATGAAAAATCCAAGGAATTGAATTTCAAGATTACTCATGTACACGAATTTCACTCAAAAATGGCTCCAAAATGGTTGAAAACACTTGCTGGTACCACATGGAGTATGAATGGTCAGGATTAAGACCTTAATTGATCTCAATGGCTCATGCTGGTTGTGTAACTTCATAGTGAAGAAACCTTGAAAATGGCTCACTTACACACCTCAAATCCAAAATGTAAAATTGCCAATGCATTCAAAATGTTATTTGCACTCAGAAAATGCACTCATTTGCACCAAATTGATAAAAAAATGACAAATTCCAATTTTGCCCTTTTAATCATTCTTCCATGAAAATTCACATATCCAATCCTCATTCCAAGTATAAAACATGACTTATCAATGTTTGAATAAGCAAATAACACCATTTGGAACAAGTTTGATGTTGGAAAAATCTTCATTTGAAGTGTGCAAGTTGGTGAAGTGGACCTATAATTTTATGACCTATAATCTTGCTTTCCCAAAATACCCCTAACTTGTAAACCTCATAACTTGAGTTCTACAAATCAGATGAAAGACTTCTAGTACATTTTAGAAAGCTAAGATCAAGACCTACAACTTTCATGTTGGATAAAATTTGAGGAGAAACATCCTTCTAGGTCAAAAATGGCTTGGAATTTGGTTGACTTTTGTTGACCAAAATCACATCCCTCTAATGACCTGTAACTTGTCTGGATCATAACTTGAGTTCTACAAATCCAATCAAGGACTTCTAGTACTCAAATTAAAGCTAAGAATATGCTCTACAAGTTCCATGTTGGTCAAAAGTTGAAATGAAATTTGTATCTTTAGATAGGTGGTCTTGAAGTTAGGCACTAAATAGGGGATTTTACCCTAAGAACCCTAATTTAGTAACTTCTCACACACTTAACCCTTGATGAATTGAACTTGAAATGATGTCTCATATATCTTAACACAACATCCCATGACCATAGAGACTTGTAATTGAGTTTTAATCTCCTTCAATTTCACAGTTGACTGAAGATTAATCAGATGAAACCCTAATTGCAACACTTTCAACTGCAACTCTTCACACTTGACACAAACACTTGGATGAGCTCCACAATGACCCTCAAGGCACTCAATGAGCTCTCTCAACATCTTATATCCATAACCATGAATCCGCAATCCCCTGATGATCTTGAATTGGCCTCTAAGTTAGGAGCTGACTCACATACATCCATCCTTTGTTTCACAAGACCAATGTTCATTTCCTGATGACTTGATGACTATCCCAACTTGAGTAACACCCCTTGCTTAGGCTCAATGAAAAATTTATGGTTGATGAACTTGATTAATGAGTTGAAGGCAAAGTTCATGGAGCGATGACTGTGAATATTGACAACATATTTGTTATAAATTTGTCCAAGAATCATGTTCGCATGGAAGGAGTAAACACATAGAGATGAGATTCAATTATCTTATGGAATAAGTAAGCAATAGAAGACTATAATTGAAGCATTGTAAAATTGAAGATTAAGTAGTAGACACCATGACTAAAGAAGTGCAAGTGAAATTGTTCAAGAAGTTTAGAAATATGATAAGTGTAAAAAGTTCAAACACAATGAATCAGGTGATGTGTTAAATATGTATAATTTATTGTGTTAGGATCACTTGATGCTCAAATAAAAGTTTGTTGGAGAGAAAATTATGTTTCTAACATAATTTGTTTAGTTAGTTAGAGAATTTTAAAAGATAGTTAGAGGTGGTTGAGTTGTTTAGAGTGCAAGCAACATCATTTAAATACTCTAGTATTGTAAACACTTAAGAGAGTGAAATATATCTTTCTCCTTGTTCCAAAATTTAATCTCTTCTTTCAACTCTGAATAATACAAAGTGTGTGGGAGTGAGAGAACAAAGTTTTGAACAATCCATGTGTGTGATTGTGTTCTTGATTGAAGAGTTTTGTTCCAACAGTTTGTTTGTCTTCTAATTCATCTTATTTTCTCCCACCTTTAAATTCAAAATTTCAAGTTGTTCTTATAATCTCATACAGGTTCCTAATATTAACAAAAATATATACTTACTGTCACAAAAATTTCAAAAGATATTCATACTTATTTTTAATTCCATCACAATCTTTGTTTTGTAAAATTTCTTGACTTCCAGGGAGATTCTTCTTGAACTAGTTCAAAATGTCCATTTGTAAAAACTTATACTCCAAATTCGATTTCATGATTGAAATATAATTTTCTAGTAAATTGAAAGTTGTCAAAAGATAATGGGGGTGGTTGTTTTGAAAAAAGTGTGAACATATACACGATTAAATAATTTGTATAAAATGATTGTATTCACAAATATTAATTATGTAACTTTCCAATATTATAAATATAGAGAAAAATTAAGACAGGTTTCAAATTTTATCTAAAGTTTTAAATTATTTAGTTTTAAAAATACGATGTAAATTAGATAGAAAAAATAAGTCAAAAACTATATTGGCAAAACAAACAAAAGATGAAAAATAAAGCAGACTAACATAAAAAATCAATAATATTGTATAATCGTTCCAATAACACTAACAAAAATTCATGGTTTACATTTTCACAAAAAACAAAAAAAAACACTCAATAGCTTCTATATAAATACTAATGATTTACTTCATGTTTTAAAATACTTTGGTTGCTTCATTTTATATTCTTCATTATTTTTTGCAATGCTTAAGTAAACATTTTTCATGAATATTAACTATATATTTTTGGTTATTGTTAGTGTTAAGTGAATGGTAGTGCTAGGAATAATTTTAAGGTGGAAAGAGGGTTGCGTCAAGGAGATCTGTTATCTCCTTTCTTATTTGTGATAGTTATGAAAGGTTTAACTGGTTTGATGGAATCAATAGTGGAGATTGGGGAATTTAAAGGTTTCAAAATCAATGATGAGGAGACTGTTGATATTCTTCAATTTGCTGATAACACCATTATTCTTAGGGATGACGGAAGTGACATTCTTTGGAATGTGAAGGCTATTTTAAGAGAGTTTGAGATGATTTCTGGGTTGTGAGTTAATTTTTGCAAAAGCAATATTTATGGCATCAATGTGAGCAAATGGAGTTTGGAGGCGGCGTCTTCTTTCCTATCTTGTAGGGTTGATAATCTCCCTTTCAAGTTTCTAGGTGTTATGGTTGGAGATAGCCTTAGAAGACTGTTTATATGGAAGGATCTATTGAGTGTGATTATGAGTAGATTATCATCATAGAAAAAGAGATTTCTTTCTTTTGGTGGGAGAGTTGTTATGATTAACTCAATTTTAAACTCTCTTACAATCTACACTTTATCCTTTTATAAGGCTCCGATTAAGGTGTTAAAAGAGTTTTGTAGCATTCAAAGTAAGTTCTTGTGGCAAGGGGTAGAGGACAAGAGAGCTATCCATTGGGTTAGTTGAAGCAAGTGTGCAAACCTAAAGAATGCGAAGGTCTTGAAATTAAGAACTTAGAGGCTTTCAATAAATCTCTTCTGTTGAAGTGGAAATGGAGGATAATCAATGACAACTCTACATTATGGAGGGGGTTGACTAGGCATAGGTACAAGAATTTGAAAGCAAAGATGTCCGTAAGCGATAAAAGTGCGATTAACAATGGATATTCAATCTGGTAGAGAGATTTAATTATGGTGGACATCATTCTTGATGGAAACTGTAATTGTTTTTCTAATACTACTTTTTTCAAGGTTAAAAATGGTAAGAATATTTCATTTTGGTTCAGCAAGTGGATTGGAAACCAAGCGTTGAAGGACGTGTTCTCAGAGTTGTTTGTTTTGGCCGCTGACCTGATAAGCAGAAAGGTAGATGCAGGCCAGTGGGATCATGAAGTTCGGAGATAGAATTTATAGGGTTTGGGGTTTAATCAGAATGACTTTGACAATTAGCAAAGGGATGATTTGGAAGAGTTGCTTTCGAAACGATGATAGTGCATGATGAAGCAGATGAATTTGCGTGGTTACCGGAGGCTGGCGAACTTTTTTATGTTGAATTTGGTTTTGAGGCTTTAGAATTAAGGACAACCGTTATCTTGATTATGGAAGAGAAGCGAATCGCTGCCAATTTTATGTGGAAAATTCTGACTCCTTCGAATGTCCTAATATTTGGATGGAGATGGATCCTAAATAGGTTTATTATCAAAATTTTCAAATATAAGTAATTTCTACATAAAATTGAACACATTCAATATAGATAAAATATAATTCTCACAATTGAATCAAAACACCATATTATTTGCAAATAAGAGAATAAATCTTCAAAATAAATTCTAGATTCATAATATGTAATAGTATCTTATATTGTCATATAATAATTATGACATGCATAATTTATAACTCTTTTTATAACCATCATCATAAACTTAAGTAAGAAAACCGTTGGGATACTTATTATGTAATTGAGAGAAGATTTTTCTTATATATTACTACCTGACAACAATTGAACATAAGTGGACTCATTTTGTTAGTGCATCACTAGATATCAAAGCAATGGACTCATTTAACACCATTAAACGAGTATCCACCAATTCAAAAATTTTACTATCGTCCATAAGTGGAGGTATGGATGTTAGAAAGACCAGTTCATTACCCAAATCAAATGACACCAAATATAAATTATCACCGTTGATTTCACTTTCTCCAAACCAATGACACATACCATTAACATACACTTGATCTAAGGGTCTGTTTGATTCAACCGAGGGGAGAGGATGAATTTTAATAAAGGGGAGGAGATGTATTTTAATTAAACGTATGTTTGGTTCATAAAGGGGGGGAGGGGAGGGAGAAGTCTTATTCAAATATATGTTTGGTTCACAGGGGGAGGGGAGGGGTTTTAAAACTAGTTTACCTTTTTACCCTTAAAATATTATAACAGTCATGCTAAATAAATTTTAAAAAAAATATTCACCAAAAAAATTGTTAATTCATAAAAAAACATAAATAACTAAACACAAAATATTTAACATTTAAAATACTCTAAAATATCTTAAAATGAAAATAAAATATTGATAAACCTCATAAAACCAAATTATATAATCAATGATCATATGAACCATTTTCTCATCTTGATGATCCATTTAATCCTATAACATATTTATAAGATTAAATTCTACATAATATATAACTCATACTACAATTATATATTGATATGTAATATAATATAACAAATTATAAAATAATTAAGTTATTACAAGCAAAATATTAAATAAAGATGAATAGAATAAAACAAATGGCAAAAAAGTTGAATCATAATAATAAAAATAATGGAGTTACCACTAAAGAAATGAAGAAATTATAATAAGGTAACAAAAATTAAGGTATAATATTAATAAAGACAATAAAAAATTTTATAAAATAAAAGTGAGGATAATTTTGTCAATATAATAAAAATACATGTTATCATACCTCCCCTCCCTCCCCTCTCCTCCGAAAACCCCTAATTCGAGGGAACGAAAAAGTGCTCTAGGAGGGATTCTAATTACCTCCAATCTCCCTTCCCCTCATAAAAATTGAACCAAACACACCTATTTTAAAGTATTCTCTCCCCTCCCCTCCCCCTCCCCTCCCCTCCCCTCCAAAATCCCCCAACGAAACCGACCCTAAAGCTTTTATCAGACTATCAGGAGAAGTTGGTATATCCAAATCAAGTTTTTTCCGAGAATTACTTTTAAGGCTATATACCTCCCCATAAAGGCTCATAAAATATCTTTGATGATGACGCGTTAATTTGGACCTCTAACAAATAATGGAGATTTGCAAAAAAAAAAATTTACATATCAAATCACCTTAAAATCATCTCTAACCTAATCATAACCACTATTTTTTTTATTGTTTTATGTGAATAAATGACTAGTTGATGATTTAGAAGTCCCTCTCCATTCTCTTAAAGATTTATTATTTTCCACAAAAGGAAAAATATTGCAATATTAAAAGCCATACGCAACAAATAGTAGTACCAAATTTTACTCCACCACATGGAACCCACCACATGGATGATGGAACCCACGCGAAACAAAACAAAAACATTGTTAGGTTTCGAAATTTTACTCCACCACATGGAACCCTGTTAGGTTTCGAAATTCATGATCTTTGATGGTTTTTTGTTGTTTTTTTCAACCTACATTGTGTTTGGCGAAATGTTACTTTCGATAGAGATTTGAAGATCGGTACATTTATAAGGAGCAAAGGGTTTGAGTATATTCCGATGGGAAATGTAAGCAATGAAGAACAAGAACTCAGAGAACTCAGAGAGATTGAAACTTTGGAGAGAGAAGACGTGGAAAAAGCTGGAGTTGATTTAGAAGATCCAAGTGGAATAGCACCATGGACACAACAGATTGCAGTTAGAGGACTGATAACTAGCGTCTTTATTGGCTTGATTTATAGTGTCACTGTGTTGAAGCTGAATCTCACAACTGGTTTAGTCCCTAATCTCACTTCTTGGTTTTGTGTTCATTAAACTTTGGACTAAGATTCTTGAGAAAGCAAATATTGTTTCAACACCTTTCACTAGACAGGAGAATACCATTATTCAGACTTGTGCTGTTGCATGCTACAGTGCTTCTTATGGAGGTCATTATTATGATTTTTTTGCTTTTTTTTAATTCAATATCTTTCTGTTTACAGTTTTGTGAATTTTACTTGTTTATATGTAGGTGGTTTTGAGTCTTACCTCTTGGGTTTGAATCGGAAGACATATGAGCGAGTAGGAGGGGCTAGTACACCAGGGAATACTCCTGACACCAAGGAGCCTGGAATTGGCTGAATGACTGGTTTTCTCTTTGTTACTTACTTTGTTGGGCTAACAGCATTAATTCCTTTTTGAAAGGTATTGCGTATGAATGAATCCGGATTTTCTGCTGTCAAACATTGTCGTCAAGTAGGCTCTATAACGCTATATTTATGTAGAGTAACTTGAATGTTGTTTGCTATGTTTATTTAACAGATGATGATAATAGATGCTAAATTACCTTATCCAACTGGAACTGCGACGGGTGTTCTTATTAATGGATTCCATACTCCTAAAGGAAATGTCATGGCCAAGTATGACTATAAAACTAGTTATGGTACTAGTTCTCTATATTTGTAATTTCAAGATGAGAATGTATAAAAAATTGTTTGGCATTTTTCACAGGAAGCAGGTTAAGGGTTTCATGCGGTTCTTCTCATTCAGTTTGCTTTGGTCTTTCTTCCAATGGTTCTATGCTGGTGGAGACCAATGCAGATTCGCTCAGTTTCCTACTTTTGGGTTGAAGAATGACTCCATATTATAGAACAAGAGTGATTTGTTATATTATGCTACACTATAACCGCCATTTGACAACACTGAATCTAATATTTATTTTTTTCACTACAGCTTCTGTTACAGATGATGACCAGAACAAGACTCCAGACGATCTTACCGTGATGAATTCTTTATAAAAGAAAGTGTTACAATATGGTTAGCATGTGCAGGCTATGTGGTACTCACTTTAATCTCCATCAATGTTATCCCTTTAATATTACATCAATGTTATCCCTTTAATATTCCATCAAGTGAAGTGGTACTTTATGGTGATAGCTTATTTCCTAGCACCAATTCTTGGCTTCTGCAATGCTTATGGTTTTGCTATTCTTGGATTGGTTTAAGGTTCGACCACCAATTTGTATGAGTTTTGTTGCAAATAAGTAAAAGTTTTCTTCAAGAACTTTAGACTAAATATGTGTAGTTCATAGAGGTACAGAAGAAAATGGCAAGCTTTAGACTAACCGTTTTGCTATTCTTACACTAAGGTGTACACCTACACCGTATGAATAGTGCAATACAAATATATTAAAAAAATAACAATACAAAGAATACAAGCTTGCCATTTTCTTCTGTGGGTCATTGTGCAATACAAATATAACAAGCTTGCCATTTTCTTCCGTGCCTCTATGAACTACACATATTTAGTCTAAAGTTCTTTAAGAAAACTTCTACTTATTTGCAACAAAACTCATACAAATTGGTGGTCGAACCTTAAACCAATCCAAGAATAGCAAAACCATAAGCATTGCAGAAGCCAAGAATTGGTGCTAATTGGTGCTAGGAGATAAGCTATCACCACAAAGTACCACTTCACTCGATGGAATATTAAAGGGATAACATTGATGGAGATTACAGTGAGTACCACATAGCCTGCACATGCTAACCGTATTAGAACACTTTCTTTTATAAAGAATTCATCACGGTAAGATCGTCTGGAGTCTTGTTCTGGTCATCATCTGTAACGGAAGCTGTAGTGGAAAAAATAAATATTAGATTCAGTGTTGTCAAATGACGGTTATAGTGTAGCATAATATAATAAATCACTCTTGTTCTATAATATGGAGTCATTCTTCTCCCTACATAAAAAATAAATATTAGATTCAGTGTTGTCAAATGGCGGTTATAGTGTAGCATAATATAACAAAGCACTCTTCTTGTATAATATGGAGTCATTCTTCTCCCTACATTAAAAAATATTAGATTCAGTGTTGTCAAATGGCGGTTATAGTGTAGCATAATATAACAAATCACTCTTGTTCTATAATATGGAGTCATTCTTCTCCCTACATCTCAGTGTTATCATTTGCATATGGAAGAAAACCCACCATAATGCCACCATCCTTCACGAACTTGCCACAACGGTTGTGAAAAAGTCTGTCACACAATCCGCCTTGGCCTATATGTGACAACACTGCCTAAACTTCAAAACTACGCAAACCCACAAACAGCAAAAAGTGATAATAGGACATTTATTTACCTCTTCTGCGATTCCTCCTTTTCACGCAAGCTTGAAAATTTAAGGCACTAAAATATATAACTTTGATAAAATTGTAGAGTCCGCCACCAAAGATTAATGCAATGGAAATAAAAACCTGCATCATGAAAATAAAAATGAAAGTTAAAGCCTAAAGTGAAACAAAAAAAAATGTAAATCTAAATTTCATTTCTTGTTTATTCAAGACCTTATAACCATTAAACTACAGCTCCGTAATGCCCCATGAAATGCCCCATGAAACTACAGCTCCATAATGCCCCATGAAACTACAGCTCCAAAAAGCAATGATAAATTGACAAATGATAAATTGACAAGATGTGAACAAATCATTCCTGTTCCAATATACATTCTTCTGATGCATAAAACTAAAAAAGAGTCATAACAGTTGAAATAAAAGCACACACATGTTTTTCCATGCTTTCAACCCGAAAGTAGGAAACTGAGCGAATCCGCATTGGTCTCCACCAGCATAGAACCATTGGAAAAAAGACCAAAGCAAACTGAATGAGAAGAACCGCATGAAACCCTTAACCTGCTTCCTGTGAAAAATGCCAAACAATTTTTTATACATTCTCATCAAAAGACACTTCAAGTCCTTCAGGAGATAGCATTTAACTAGTTCAATCTCTATCTCTTCCCATAATCCTATTTTTTTATGGTGAAGTATGGCTCAATGTTGTTACTCTCTGCCACATAGAAGACATGGTAGGCTGTTTATAGGGATAGCTTTACAAGATAATGTCATATTTTTTAACCTTTACAAAGTGATGTAAATTTACTACAATACTGTGAGGAAAATCCTACTAATTATTTGTCTAAAAAAAATTTATACTAAATGGAGACGATAATGAGATTTCTACTCCAGTGTTATTATAAAGAACGAATTTCAAGTATTTGATTGTTAAATCTTATAAATTAAAGATTCGGGAATAGTTTTTATCGTTCAATAAAATTCCTCTGTAAAGAAAAAAAGTATCTGTAAAATTGCCTTAAGGAAAACAATTATTTACACCAATTAACTCTCAAATAATCAACATTTTTGCACTTATTGTCCCTAAACCTTTAAAATAAGATCTACATTCTCCTTTGACTAAGACATTGATGAACTACTCTACTCGGAAAAAAAAAAAAAAGATCTTTATGAACTACGCACTAACAAAATCTGACTACACAAATTTCTTCTAAAGATCTACAAGAAAATGTCTTCTAGTTATTTGCAGTGAAACTCATACAAATTGGTGGTCGAACTTTAAACCAAGCAAGGACACCCGAAGGAAGAACCCATATCCCATCTCCACAAATCAAACCAGAAGCAACAGCTGGAACCATCAAATCTGCTTCCTTTCTTTTCAATTTACTCCAAACAAACACAACTAAACTTCCCACACACATGTCAACTGCAAAGTAAGCACCAACAACAAAAGGCACAGCCATTGCCATAGGAAGTGGGACCCATTTCCCAATATTTTTAGGGTTCCAATCTCTTACCAAGTTAACCAACACAGCAAATGCAAAAAACCCATAACAGAATTCCAAGCAATGGTTTGGTAGTGCTGAAAAGCCTTCAACACCAAGAATTGCCATGTTTCTATAGATGATAGCATAAGGTGCTTTGTATTCACCATCAGGGTCTCCAACATCAAAAGAATGGTAGAAAAGAAAGAATGTGAGAGGTGCTACAACACAACCTATTGCTGTACCAATTGCTTGTGTTACAAGCATAGATCTTGGGGATGTTAAAGTTAAATGGCCAGTCTTCATATCTTGCATTAAATCAGATGAAGTTGAAGCAAGTGATTTTATTAGTCCACATGCTACAAGTCCGACAACGACACCATCACTTTTCCCTCCTAAGGCTGCAAGAACGAAAAGTGCTACTTTTCCATAATTATAAGCCATGTTCATGTCAGTTAAGCCAGTACCATAAGCATTGCAGAAGCCAAGAATTGGTGCTAGGAGATAAGCTATCACCACAAAGTACCACTTCACTTGATGGAATATTAAAGGGATAACATTGATGGAGATAACGGTGAGTACCACATAGCCTGCACATGCTAACCATATTGGAACACTTTCCTTTATAAAGAATTCATCACGGGTAAGATCGTCTGGAGTCTTGTTCTGGTCATCATCTGTAACGAAAGCTGTAGTGGAAAAAAATAAATATTAGATTCAGTGTTGTCAAATAGCGGTTATAGTGTAGCATAATATAACAAATCACTCTTGTTCTATAATATGGAGTCATTCTTCTCCCTACATCTCGGTGTTATCATTTGCATATGGAAGAAAACCCAAAACCCACCATAAGAACACCATAATGCCACCATCCTTCACGAACTTGCCACAACGGTTGTGAAAAAGTCTGTCATCACAATCCACCATGGCCTATACGTGACAACACTGCCTAAACTTGAAAACAACGCAAACCCACAAACAGCAAAAAGTGATAATAAGACATTTATTTACCTGTTCTGCGATTTCTCCTTTTCACGCAAGCTTGAAAATTTAAGGCACTAAAATATATAACTTTGATAAAATTGTAGAGTCCGTCACCAAGGATTAATGCAATGGAAATAAAAACCTGCATGATGAAAATAAAAAGAAAGTTAAAGCCTAAAGTGAAACAAAAAAAATGTAAATCCAAATTTCATTTGTTGTTGATTCAAGACCTTATAACCATTAAGACTCTTCATGCTACTTTCTGGTAAACTTTCAGGGAACCAATTTCCTTTTAGAACTCTGATCAGTGGCCACATAATGCCCCATGAAACTAAAGCTCCAAAAAGCAATGATAAATTGACAAGATGTGAACAAATCATTCCTGTCCCAACATACGTCATGCTGAAATCAAAGTAAAATCTGCGAAAAGTCCAACATTCAAATCAATTACAATCGACAAATGTTTCATTCTTCTGATGCATAAAACTAAAAAAGAGTCATAGCAGTTGAAGTAAAAGCACACACGTGTTTTTCCATGCTTTCAACCCGAAAGTAGGAAACTGAGCGAATCCGCATTGGTCTCCACCAGCATAGAACCATTGGAAAAAAGACCAAAGCAAACTGAATGAGAAGAACCGCATGAAACCCTTAACCTGCTTCCTGTGAAAAATGCCAAACAATTTTTTATACATTCTCATCTTGAAATTACAAATATAGAGAACTAGTACCATAACTAGTTTTATAGTCATACTTGGCCATGACATTTCCTTTAGGAGTATGGAATCCATTAATAAGAACACCCGTCGCAGTTCCAGTTGGATAAGGTAATTTAGCATCTATTATCATCATCTGTTAAATAAACATAGCAAACAACATTCAAGTTACTCTACAATAATATAGAGTTATAGAGCCTATTTGACGACAATGTTTGACAGCAGAAAATCCGGATCATTCATACGCAATACCTTTCGAAAAGGAATTAATGCTGTTAGCCCAACAAAGTAAGTAACAAAGAGAAAACCAGTCATCCAGCCAATTCCAGGCTCCTTGGT